TCTCCCCAGCAGGTAACCCCTCCCCCGTCCGAAAACTAGGGGGATCGTCGCCCGAGAGGGGCGTCCTGTGGGGACAGCCAGCTCTTTCTGAGCAGCGGCCTGGCCTGGAGCCCCAGATCCTCTCGGGCCCTCGACAAGGACGGTCCCCGGGGCCGCGTCACCGGAAAGGGAACCCCTCGTGGGGAGCCCGGCGGGCCCGGCCCGGCTCACCAGCTGCGTGCACTTGTCCGTGCAGTAGCCCGTGAGCACGAAGGCCGCCTCCCCGGGGGGGATGGCCATCACGGGCGTGTACACCAGGCCCAGCTCCATGATGCCCGCGTCGAAGCGCCGCAGCGTGGCCGTGTAGTACAGGCGGATGCCCGAGGAGTCCCGCCGGCCTGGGGGGCGAGGGGGTGAGTCAAGGTCCCCCCCAGCTGCCCTGAGGCAGGAGGCGTGGTCACCCGCCCCTGCTCCCAGCCTGCAGCGGGGCCTTTATCCCACACCGGGCTGCACCAGGAGGCAGACCCTTGGTCAGCAGTGTGCTGGGTGCTCTCAGGCAAGTCACTGCCGCTCTGGGCCTCCGCGCAAATCAAGGGCCTCGTCCTGAGACCTCAGTGCTTCTACCCAGCACGGCCCAGCCAGGCCTGCCAGCTCTCCTTGAGGGTACTCATTGGGGAGTTAAGCTCCCTGGGCAGCCCCCCGGGGGGCACATGGAGGTGAGGGTCGGAGGCCCGTGGACGCTGCCACCCACAGGCCCCGCCCCACGACCTGTGGCCTCGAGTCGCCTGTCTCCTGCCCTTCCCCTGCCTGGACTGCGCAGTGACTAGGTCCTCAGGACTTCGGGTGGAGCGCTGGGAGGGTCCCGTGGAGGAAAAAGCGGGGGTGGGGGCTGGACAACCCTGGGAATGTAGGCAGAGCTGGGAGGTGGGCGGGGAGCCCAGCCAACGGAGTATTCGTTCCCAACTTACAGACGTGGAAACTGAGGCTCAGAGCCTGAGCCGAGGACCCTGCCCAAGATCGCAGCCGGGACGTGGCCGAGCTGGGAACGGAGCCCAGGGCCTTGGTGGGGGGCTGGGTCTCCCACTGACTTGCTCGGAGGTGAAGCCAAGAACCCCTCCGCCTCTGCCCCCTCCCTCCCTACTCCATGCCCCCCCCCCCCCGCCCTCCGCCCGCAACTCAGGGTGCACACTCGGCCCTGCACCTCAGCTGCGTCCGAGGATAGCGCTGGCTCGCGCGCAGACGGGATGAGATACTGAGATCACGGTGGGGCTCTGATATTTATAGGAAAGCAGCCGTTTCCAGATTTGTGGAGTGACAGGCGCGCCCCTATATTTGGTGACGGATCCATAAATACACCCAGAGAATCAGGAGGAGACAGACTTCCCTGGCGCTTCGGGAGTTCTCAGAAACCCATTTGCTTTCTGCTTTCCATGAGCAGTAAATCCCGTCCCCCGTGAGGCCCCGCTGATGCATGTCCTCCCTGTGCGCCGCCCACAATTCCCCCGGCGGGAAGAAAGTCACAGTGGGAGGTGAGCAGACCCCCCCCCCCCCCCATCACGCAGCTAGGGAGCGGCGGGCGGGACCGGCCTGCTGATAGTCTGATCTCTCACGCCTCTCTGCCCCCCACGTCCTTGAGCCACCTGGTCGGCGCACCCTAACTCTAGCTCCTGCTCTGGCTGGCCCTGCAGAGTGAGCCAAGCCTGCGGGAGAAGGCGGCACTGCCGTTCGCTCAGCCACCCAACAGCCACCGCCTCCTTACAGCTCTGGTCTCAGACCAGCCTTGCTCAGTTCAAGGCCAGCCAGTCCCTGCAAGGCTACGTGATCATGGAGACCACAGCGGCCCAGAGCCCGACTTCCTGGCTCCCAGATCCCTCCTCACTTTGTGGCCTTGTGGGTCCCTACACTCTGAGCCTTAGTTTCCTCATCTGCAAAATGGGTACGCAGGAACCTCTACTGCCTGTCCCCGGGCCGGTACCTGGGACAGTACCATGTCCCTGGTGCTGAGCCAGCCCGGCAAGGCCCTGCCCCGGGAGCCCACTGCGGTCCCAGGAGACGGATAGCGAACAGTGAGCGAGAGAGGCGAGAGGGACGCATGCCCCATGGGTCACAGCAGGGGGCCAGACTTTGGGGGGTGGGGGAGTCCAGTGCCCAGGGGAAGGCAGAGGCGGCCCCGGAGAAACAGCTCGAGCTCCTACCTTGTATCTTGAGCGGGTTGTGGTAGTGAACTTCCAGGCGGAGAAACCTGGAGGACCCGGCACCCCCGAAAGCAAGGCCCGCTTCCTCCGGGTAGTAAAAGGCCTGCAGGGAGCGGAGGGAGGCGGGTTGGGCATCAGGTACAGCAGCCCCGACAGACTGGGGGTCCGAGGGGTCCCGGGTGGCAAACCCACCTGACTCTTGGGCCTGAGCTGCAGGGTGTGGGGCCAGAGCTGCAGGGTGTGGGGCCTGAGCTGCAGGGGGTGGGGCCTGAGCCGCAGGGGGTGGGGCCAGAGCTGCAGGGGGTGGGGCCTGAGCTGCAGGGGGTGGGGCCTGAGCCGCAGGGGGTGGGGCCAGAGCTGCAGGGGGTGGGGTCTGAGCCGCAGGGGGTGGGGCCTGATCCGCAGGGGGTGGGGCCTGAGCCGCAGGGGGTGGGGCCTGAGCTGCAGGGGTGGTGGTGGGGCAGCGGATTAGAACAGTGCTCTCCCGCTGATGGGCAGCTCATCGCCAGTGCACACCACGTTCCTGGACTCGGGCCGGCCCCTCTGGACGTGGAGGAAGCTGAGGAAAGCCCCACGGTGCAGCCCAGGGCGGCTGCGACACCTGCCCATCACCCGGGACACCCAGGGCACAAACCCCTCCGCTCCAGCCAGACCCGAGATCAGTACCACAGAGAGCACAGCTCTGGGCTTTTGCATTTTTGCAGAAAAGTAACAAAGGCTGGGAAAAGTCCCGCTGCTCCGAGGAGCGGGATGACAGCGCACGGGTCTCGGGGGGTCTGGGGGGGCCCTCTTGGCAGCCTCACAAGCACCCTGCGGAGCCCCATCATGGGGCCTCTCGGAGAAGTGGGGACACAGGTGTGGAGGGGACCCTGACTCCCGCGGAGGCCCGGGGGACGCACCTTGGCGCCCAGGGCCCAGGCGGCCAGCACGTGGCGGCAGTAGTTGAGGCGCTCCGGCTTCATCTTGGAGTCGCAGGGCCCGCTGAAGTGGGGGAAGCTCTCGAACCCGGCCGCGCACTGGAACACCTCCATGTGGTGCACCAGCGCCTCGTTGCCCTTGGTGACAATGGGCTCGTACTGCGGGGTGGAGGGGACACCGAGTCTTGGTCAGGGCCACCACCCACCCACCCACTGGGAGATGCTCAGAGCAATTGCACTCTGAGTTAAGCTGCTTTTGAATGAAGGGGGAGGTGGCCTGACAGACAGACAGACACCCGGCCATTCCAGTCCCAGGGGAAGAAGCAGAACTCAGGGCATCAGTTGTCTTGGTCCAGGCTGGGAGCTGGGGTGCAGAGGCCCTGGGAGGTGGGGTGCAGAGGCCCTGGGAGGTGGGGTGCGATGGATCAGACCACACTTGTGGCTGCAGGAAGGTCAGATGCCCAGGGTTCGGGACACCTGGCTCAACCAGGACCTCGGACAGCTTGCCGGGACAGGGCGGGGCGCCAGGGACAGGGACAGCCCTCCAGGCAGCAGGCCCCGCCCCCCGTACCATGACGATGTGGTGCCGGGGGAAGCCGGCGGGGAGCTCGGTCATGTAGCACCAGTAGGTGGTCTCCTGGCCGGGGATGAGGACGTCGGGGGCGCGGACCTCCATGGTGCGCACGTCCGCGGGCAGGGCCGGGCGGGAGATGTTGGGCTTCAGCAGCTGCACCCTCTGCAGCCCCGTGCGCAGGCCCGAGGTGTTGATGGCCTCCAGCGACGAGAAGGGCTGCTCCAGGATCCCGTACACCAGGTGGACGGTGCCGTCCTGCAGCCGAGACAGGGCCGGCCATCGTCCACGCGGACCCCAGAGCAGGGCTCCTGGTCACCCGGGGTGCCAGGCCCCTGCCCGTCCCGCCTGGCAGATGGCATGCCCGGCACTGACCAAGAAGGCAGCCGCCAGCCCCGCTGGTGCCGGACGGAGCGGGCATAGAAAGTTCTAGTGGCTACGAGCTGGAGGTCACAGGCAGATTCGGGGGCCAGGGGCTGGGCTGGCTCTCACGTGCTACAGTGAACTCAAACCCAGACCCACCACCCACCTCGATGAGGTAGTCCCGGGGGTCGCAGGTGCTGAAGGGCCGCCGGAAGAGCAGGGTCAGGCCCTGCGGGGTCCGCTGGGCCTGCAGCAGCTGGTAGTCCTGCTGGGCGTCCAGGTGGATCTGTCCCTTCTGGTCACTCCAGGCGTCCTGCAGGGACAGGACAGGCTCAGAGCGAAGGTTGCTGCCCACAGCGCGGGGCACATGGGCCCTGTGGGTCCGGGGTCTGGCCGGGGTTAGGGGCTCACCCACGTCCTGTCTCCCTTCCCCTGGGGCCTGGAAGCAGGGCTCTCAGAGGCCAGCAGGTCTGGGGCTGCTCAGTCCCAGACCTCCAGGCGGGACCAGGAGTCTGTCTTGCTAAGAAGGTGCCATGACTGGGAAGGGCCTTAGACGAACACCGCTCCCACTGGCCTGCGGAGGGCGGGCCGTGATGGCGTGGAGCCGTGGAGGGGAGACGGCAGAGGGCTGCACGGGCGGCAAGAGAGGACCAGGTACAGTGCTTCAGGCGGCCCTCGGCTCACATGCCCGTCCTGTGCTCCTGCTCCCCCGAGAGTGGGCACTGCCTTAACCCTGTACCTGGGCGTCTTGCTCCCCTCGCCCCATCCTCCCCTCCTCGCTTGGAGAGGGTAAACTGAGGCCGGGAGGAAACGGACCTGCTGCATTCCCCCAGGATGATAAGCAGACCTGGCTGACCCCCTTCCCCCCCCCCCCCCCCGCCTGCCCCGGCAGCTGCTACCCTTGCACCAGGGGCTTGGCCAGAGCTGGGGACGAGTGGGGGGGGGGGGGGGGTGGGGGGGGGCTGGGAGGGACAGCCTTCCCCACCCAGGGCCTCTGTTCTGCTCAGGAACACGGGCTTCGGCCTCGGGACCTGTTTTCACTGCCTCAGGGCCACCGCCTTTCCTCATTTCCTTGAGAAAAAAGAAAGCTGCCTGCGATTTTGCAACCATGTTCCCAGGAGAAAAGGCTGCGGGACTCAGTTGAACGCAGGCAGAGGTAACACCCGGGCTGGGAACCTAGAACGTGTTTGTTGAACATCTTGCCGGAGGAGGAAAGCAAGCCCGACAGTTGTTTGCAGAGGAATTTGTTGTGCAAATGAATTCTGCAGCGCGGGAGGGGGGGCCCGGCTCACTTGGCAGCTGCGAAGCCGCACAGGGGGCTGCGGGACCTCCCAGCTACTGAGCGCCCCTGTCGTGGGAGGCGGGCCGCCCCGGGGCCAGGTTTGCCCCCACCAGGCAGCTCCGGCCCCTCCGACCTGGGTGGCCCCACGCAGCTCCCCCAGCCGCGGTCCTCACCGGTGAACCCAGCAATGTACCCTCCTGCGGGGCTGTCGTGGGCACTGAAGGGAGCACAGTCAGGGGGTTGTACTCACAGAGACGCTGGTGGCAGGCCCAGCTGGGGAGGAGGGCAGGAGGGGGGCTCAGGACAGGGGCTGGGCCCCCTCCCCGGGACCTCCCTTGAATTTGTGGAGGCCACAACGTTGCTCTAGTTTAAAAGGAATCTTCCCCCTTTCTCCACCCCCTCCAGCAAGAATGGGGTGCATTTCCAAGGCCAGGAGTCAGAGCTCAGCTCCGTGGGGGCGGCGCCTGCTTGGCTGACCCGCGTGTGCAAACCTAGTCCAGCCAGCACCGCGGCCCGGGCCCGGGTGTGCACGCGGGCACCGCGCTTGGTCATGTGCGAGGGTGTGGGTGCCCCGGACGTTGATCATGTGAGTGGAGAATGCGGGGTCCGCGCTCAGGGTGGCGGTGGAGTGGGTGCACGTGTGTGGCTGCCTGTCCTGCCCCCGCGGCTGTGCTCCTCGGGCCGGGGTGTCCTGTTGCTTGGGGTGCGCAGCCGGGGACCCTGGAGAGCATCTGTTTCTCACTCTGCCCTCATATTGGCGAGCTTGGGGCACAGGGTCAAGGAGGAGGCGTGTAGGAGGGAGGCCAGCTGGGAGGCTGGGTAGGGCCGGTTCAGGGCGAGGGAGAGACTCACCCCAAAGTAGGCGCTGTCCCCGTTTGTCCAGAGCACGACCAGGTCGGCATTCTCCAGCTCCCCGCGGTCCGACATCCCGAACAGCACCCCGGCCTTGAGCTCGCGCACCAGCAGCTGGAAGTGGACGGTCTCCTGCGCGTAGCTGACGTTCCAGGAGAGCTCCAGGGTCCCCTCGGGGTCCAGGGGGATGCGGTAGGGGAAGGGGCTCTCGGGGGGCGTCGAGCCCTGCAGCGCGGCCACCAGGATGACCAGGAACACGGCCACCGCCGTGCCGTACATGGAGGCGGCCTCGCGCGCGCTGGGGCTGGGGACCTGCATGGCTGGCGCGCGGCCGCCCCACCTGGCCCTTTATGTCCCGGCCCTCGGGGGGGCTGGGCCCGGGCGGCCGCCGTAATCACATTTGTCTGCCGGGCAATTGAATTGTCCGGGCGACCCTCCCACCTGCTCGTGCCCCGGGCCAAACGCTTTGCCTCCCTGGCTCCCCTAATTGGCACTGATGGGGCATGGACACCGTCAGCGGGAATTGGAGGGGACTGGCTGAGCGATTGCCACTGGGGAGGGTGCTCCCTGCAGCCACAGCCTTTGCACGCCCTCCCGCCAGGCACCCCCGACCACCAGGCAGGCCGTCCGGCCTGTCCCCCCCAGCCGACGGGATGGCCCCGTGCCGCCCCATTCGGGGATGGGCAGACTGAGACCCCAAAGTTATCTCCAAGGTGACAGTGAGTGATGAGACTGTGCTGCTGGAGGCCTGGCCCACGGAGCCATTCTACAAGGCTGGAGGGTGGGCCACTTTCAAAATAAAAATAAAAGCCGATCCCCAAATAGGCCGTGTGTTTAGACACTCTCCCGCCGCCTGCTGTTCCGATTGTTCCCCCACAGGCTCCAGCTGGCGCCGCGGCTGCTGCAGAAGCAGTGGGTGCAGTGCTGGGGGTGGGGACAGATGGCGCGGGCACGGCACTGGGGGGGGGCTGGGGGGCATTTCTGGGCAGCAGACTTGGCGATGCCTTACAGAGGGGTAAAGTGTAGGGCACCCCGCTGGGGGGACATATTCAGAGAGGGGTGTGAGTGACAGGCCCGGTTCCCTGTCTCCAAAGCTCCCCAACCCTTGACACCCTCCAGCAGAGTGGGCCCAGCCTGAATCTGCACCCTCCCGGCCAGCCGGCCATTGCCCTGTTTCTCCCCACCCACGGGGCCTTCCCACAGACCCGCCGGGTCTTACAGCCCCAAGAGCCTTGAGTGTCAGTCTCATCGCGCTCGGCTCCCTCCCATCCTTCTCTGTGCAGAATGGACTCACCGTGTGCTGCCACTTTCAGGAAGTTCTCCATGATTGCCTCCTGCTCTGAACTCAGCCCTCAACCCTCAGACATCGAACTAACTTCCTTCCATCTCCCTCCCTCCCCTTTTTCCTTCCTTCTTCCTCCTCCTGTTCCTCCTCTCTTTGGAGAAACGAAAAACCCAACCTTAGGCGCACACAGAGGTCACTGGCTGGTGCCCAGCTGTAAATCCTCAGGTATTTGAAAGACGGGCTGCGAGGAGGTTGCGCCGGGCTCTGGTTTTGCTCTGAACTCTGCTCCTTCGGAAGGACTGACTGTCTGTGTGTGAAGATGAAACTTGGAGAAAGTTCCTGCCCTGGTGGGTGGTGCTGTCTGCCTGAGCTGGGCGGGCCCAGGCCAGGGGGGAGGCCTGAGACCAGGTCTCCTTCTCCAAATTCTTTCTAGAACCTCCGAGTCTGTGCTATAAGCAGGCATCTGGCATTGAAGGTCACGACGCACCTGGACAATCACTCCCCGGGGTCAGGGAGCAGCCGCGAGAAGGGGTGAGGCAGGGTCTCGGGGTGGGGGGGCGGGGCTGTGTTCTTGGCACTTACGGTGGTAACCGCCGGCAGACGCCAAGTGGGTGGCAATGGCCCTGGGTGAGCCTTCCCGGTGGCTCCGCTTGAGGACAGGCAGAACGCACATCAGCTGCCTCTCCGGGGAGTGGGCCCTACGGCCCGTCATGCATCGCCAGGGTGTTGGCTCTGGGTTCGAATCCTGCTGGCTCCCAGCTGGGCATTCTTGGAGACGCACTTTCCCACCCAGATCTCGCCCTACGTGGACGGGGAGCTTATCCCTCTGGCTCCCTCAGCCAGGGGTTCTGGGGAGTGAGAGGCGGTAAGGCCGGGAGCCAGGGCCTGGGATTGGGGTGTGGAGCCCCGGGGAGTGGGGTCAGCCCTGACCACCCCGACCTCGGGCAGCTGAGCGCACCTCCCGCCTCTCCTCCTCTCTGGGAGGCTGTGTGGCTCTCTGAATGCCACGGACACACGTGTGTGTGTTTTTAATACATTTTTAGTAATGATCAGAGAGAATCAATGATCAGCTGCCTCCTGCATGCCCCGCACTGGGGATTGAGCCTATAGCCTGGGCATGGGCCCCGACCAGGAATCAAACCCTGACCTCCTGGTTCTTGGGTCGGTGCTTAACCACTGAGCCACGCCAGCCGGGCACACGTTTTTAACAGGATTCAAAGCCGGCCTCCTCAGCTCAGAAGCCTGTGACAAAACGGACTCAGCTGATTTGAGAAACAATAATTACGGAGGACGAGGAACGGGAGGTGGGGGTGAGGGCCGCGGGCCGCCCAGCGCTTCACGGGCTGTTTCCTCTCACCCCAGTGGCCGGTGCTGTCTGTGACCCCCAGACCAGGGAGAGGATGCTCAGAGGGGTCACGCAGGGAGCCTGTGGTCTGGGGGCCCGCAGCTGGCGGGGGCGTGGCGGGGCTGCACTCAGCGGGTCACGGTCAGGGAGAGGCCATGGGAATCAGGAGGACACGCGACGAGGACTGCAGCCAGGCGGCTGGCCCAATCGGCGGCCCTGCACGACGTGCCGTTCTCTGCAGTAACGGATCTTTTATAAACCAGCACTCGGACCCGGGACACGAAGCGATGCTCAGCTGCCCCGCCGCCTGGGCTGCACCAGGTGAGACAGCGGCCTGCCCAGGGCTGAGCGCCTCCTCCTGGGGAGCCCTGGAGGCACTCCGGCCCCGCCCACTGCTCCCAGGCCCCGCCCACAGGCCCCTAAGGCCACGCCCCTCCGGCTCTGCTCTGGGGCTAGTTGCCCTGCAGGGGTGGGCAGGGGTGGGCTGGGGTGGCACCCGGTGCGGCACCGCCACGGGCCGGAAATAAATCCCGTTTGCCGCTCAGGCCTGGCTGCCCTCCCGGGGCCAATTTCAGCGTTTTAATGAGCCTTTTGCTTTCTTCGTCTTTCTGGCGCTGTCACCCGCTCGCTGCAGTCCCATCGCCTCTGCCACGTGAGGCCAGCTCCCCGGGGCCCCCACCCCCGATTACAGCAGGTGGGGGATGAGCCGGTCGGTGACCTGAGCCACACAGCTCCCCAGCGACCACGGGGTGGCTGCAGGCCGGCCCGCTCGGCCCAGGGTGCACTTTTTTAAAAATATGAATTTTTATTGATTTCAGAGAGGAAGGAAGAGGGGGAGCAAGATAGAAACATCAATGATGAGAGAGAATCGCTGATCGGCTGCCTCCTGCACGCCCCACACTGGGGATGGAGCCCGCAACCTGGGCCTGTGCCCTGACTGAGAATCGAACCCTGACCTCCTGGTTCCTAGGTTGACGCTCAACCACTGAGCACGCCGGCTGGGTCTAGGGTGCTCTTGTGGTGGCAGAAATCCAGCTGTCAGCTGATGGAAGCAGGAGAGATGGCCCGCCTCCGGGCAACGCTCCCCAGCCCGCTGCTCCCCACCCCCCATCCCCCACCCCCCAACCCCCACCCCGCACCCCCACCCCGGGAGCTCGGGGCAGCGCCCTCACTGCCTGCCTCGTCCTGGGCTCAATTGGTTGTGACGAGGAGGTTTAAGAACCACCTCCCGGTCAGGTCATCTCCCCACCCAAGCGGGTTCTCCCCTGAGGATGAGGCCACACCCACTGCCCCGTGTCTGCTCCTAAAGGCAGGCGGCCCTGAGATTAGGAACCCACCCCCAAGGCCCGAGGTTCCCAGGTGCCAGGACACCGAGGGAGGTGACCGGGACACACAGGCAGGGCACTCGGTGTCCAGAGCACCCCAGGGCCCTCTTGGCTCCTCCCCCACGGACTCCCCCTGGCTGCTGGGCCAGAGCCCCCACCGGCCTCGAGCTCTGCACCAAGGATGAGAGGTGGCCGGCCCCAGGAGGGGCTGGGATTTGGGGCTTGGAGCACTCAGCCAGGCCACCCCTGCAGGACAGAGTAGCCGGCTGCCAGGCCTGGACTGTCGTTGACGGCAGGGGACCAGCACAGCCTGTCTCCTCCGCAGGGTGGGTCAGCGAGAGGGGTCGGAGCAGCCCTCGCCTCAGGGCCCACGTCACCTGGTCTGCACTGAGGCTGAGGAGCGGGGCATGTCCCGGGTCCTGGGCGGATGGCACCCGCTGGCTGCTTCGGGGCGGGTGGATTTGAAGAGCAGATTGGAGATGCTGGCGCGGCTCCCTCCCGGCCCCAGGGCCCAGTGCCATCGGAGGTCCCGCTCGAGGTGCCCAGACACAGAGCAGCTGTGTCTGCACCTGAGAGGCCTGGGTGCAGCCAGGGGCGGTCCCTTGACCTGCAGATCGTGGTCACCGGCGGGGACTGGTGTCCGCCCAGGGAGGTGACAGAGACGGGAAGGCCAGGGCCCATTCCCTTCTCGGAACCTCGTCCCCGCATCTCGCAGGGGAGAGCCCCGGGGAGCCGGGTCAGGCCTCCCTCCCTTCGCCAGGCCGACGCCTGTGCCGGTGCCTGTGCGGACGGACCACCCTCGGTCCATCCATCCGCCGGTTGACGGACACTGTTGTGGTGAACAGGCTGCATGACCGTTGGTGGACAAATGGCTGCTCGCGGCCCCGTCTTCAGCTCTAGGTTGGTCCCCAGACGTGGAGGCTGGGCCCCGCAGTACTTGTGTGTCTGGCGTCTCGAGGGGCATGACTGCCTACTGCTCGCCCGCCGGCCGCGCCGCCTCGGGGCATGGGTAACTCTCCGTGCCCGTGGCCCGTGCTCTGTATTAACCAGCGCCCACGCTCAGTACTTGGGTGGCTGTCTTTTAATTGGAACGCGTGGGGCAGGGGTGCGTGCCCGACCTTGCTCACTCGGACCCGTGATTCCGAAGCGGAGCTGGGGCGCCAAGGCGGCCGCTGCCCAGTGGGAGCCGCGC